GGGACGCGCTGAGGGCGGGACGGGCGGAGGGAGGGACGCGCTGAGGGCGGGACGGGCGGGGAGCTGGACGGGCAGTGCCGCGGCGCCCCCTGCCGGCCGCCCCTCCGCCCGAGAGGTGGCCAATGGGGAGGGAGTCCGCGCCCGCCGGCGGCGCCGATTGGCTGCGGCTGAGAGGAGGTGCGGCGGGGCCGGGGGACGGCGGCGCAGTCGTGGGTGAGCGGTTCGGCTGCCGCCATCTCGCCATGGCTCGGGAATTCGAGCTGTGCCCTGGGCGCCGCATCGGCGGCGACCAGCCCTGCTTCATTATCGCCGAGATCGGGCAGAACCACCAGGGCGACCTGGACATCGCCAAGCGCATGATTCGCATGGCGAAGGTGCGGTCGGAGCTCCCAAAGGGGGAGGCGGGTGAGCGGGAGCGCCGGGGCGCGGCCAGGGGACGCGCGGAAAGGTTTGTTACTAACGCGAAGTGTCTGCAGGGAGCCCCTTTCATTTTTCAGTTTGGTGAAGGATCTGGAGCGCTTGTGCTATGAGGAGCTGCTGGGGGGTCTAGGATTGTTTAGCCTGGAGAAAATGAGGCTCACGAGGGAACCTTACCACTCCAGCCTTCCCTGAGAGGAAGCTGTATCCAGGTGGGGGTCGGCCTCTTCTCACAGGCAGCCAGTGACAGGATGAGAGCACACGGCCTCCAGGCGTGCCAGGAGAGCCTAAGGCAGGACATCARGAAGAATTTCTTCACAGAAAGAGTGAACATCAAAATGGGCTTCCTAGGGAGGTAGTGGAGTCGCCGTCCCTGCAGGTATTTGAGGAAGGAGTGGACGTGGCACTTGGTCACCTCAAGGACTCGGTGATCTCAGAAGTTTATTCCATCCTAATTGATTCTGTGATCTTGTGTCACGGCCTCAGCCCCACAGCTGTAGTATGAGCTCATGGGGAATTTGGGAAGTATCAGGCAGCTGCTGAACYGTAATGAACCTGCAATTTGACTTGGTTGACATTAGGACTTTCTTGCAGTAATGCTAGTAAGACARCCAAGCTACTTTGAAATTCAGTGTTATATCCAGAAAATTGCACATCATCACACCTCGAGGCATGATGTATTAGGTTCTGGGGTCTAAGTGCAGACTGCTCTACTGGGGGTATATCTTCATTGTTTGTGTGACTTCAAATGGATTATTATTCCTGGAGATGTTCAAGACGTGTCTAATGCTGGTGATGTGGTTTAGGGGTTACTGTGGTGGTGCTATATAGTTGGACTGGATKATATTAGAAGTTTCTTCCAACCTTGATGAATCTGTGAATTTCAGATTCATGCTCCTTGTTCTGCAGAACACTGTGTCCTGTTTTAATGTAAAATTATCAGTGACAGCTATTCTGGGAAGAACACTACAGAAGTCAACTCTGAATAGYAGCATGCATAGCAAGAGGCTAAATAGTTTTGTATGTTTAATATAAATTCTTTCTAGACTGGTGCTCTTCAAAGTGTATAGGCACTTTAAAGGGGCTTGCGTGTGTAGGTCCGAAGTGACTCTGGGTTAATTTCTGCGATTGCTAGGATGATAATGTGAAAACTCCCCAGCATATGAGCACACTGGTTACTGACTCCTTGCATTCAGACTTAGGATGAGTTTCACTTGAATTTCCACTCAGTGTGCACCAGTTTGTTTTGCAGGACTGCGGAGCAGATTGTGCTAAGTTCCAGAAGAGTGAACTGGAGTACAAATTCAACAAGAAAGCCTTAGAAAGGCCCTACACCTCTAAACACTCCTGGGGAAAGACCTATGGGGAGCACAAGCGCCACCTGGAGTTCAGTCATGACCAATATAGAGAGCTAAAGAAGTATGCGGAGGAGATTGGCATTTTCTTCACAGCTTCTGGCATGGATGAGGTATGTAAGCCATACTGGAATGACAAGGGGGTTCTGGCTGTTGTTTCTATTGGGTATTACTTAGGCGTGATTGTTCTTACATAAAAAGAATATATGGACAATGAGTTTCTGACTGAGAGACGTGGAGTAATTTGCCAGTTCACCTGTGTCTCYGCAATGGTTGAGTAGATGGCTGACTGTTTTGGAAGACATGCCATGTGTGCTGAGATACTTATACGCAGTAAATAATATTACAGACAAGGCTGCAGTTTGACCTTCATAAACAATGGAGGCTTTGAGAGTTTAGATCAAGATGGCAATCAGACTGCTCTTTGGTGTTGTCTGGCATGTTGGTTTCAAGGATATCAAACTTCCTTCTGTATTTAAACCGAATTCCTTTCTTGATCTTTTATTTCCCTYTTTTTTCCCTCCCTCCTTGTTGTTTACTGGACCCTTGTGGTGTTTCTAAGCAGCAGAAATGTTTATTCCCCCAATTTATTTTACTATTCTCATGGAGAGGCTTAGTCCTTGCCTTCTTATCCCTGAATCGTTTACTGATTTTTGCCAGTGGGCACTTGAAGAGTCATCACCAGCTTCTCAACGCCAGCAAACTCATCTGCTGCTGTCCCCACTTAAGATGTGTACTTGTAACTGTTGCATGTAGCCTACCTGGGAACGGTGGTAGTGGCGATACTTAACGAATGCATCACACAATTGAAAWGTGCAAGCTGGAAAGGTCAGGTAACACTTGAACTGATTGTTTCACTTTTCTTTGTGGCCTAGAAAATACAGAGAACCAAACTAAAAGAGACCCTACCAGAAGTAAGCTAGCCACTCTTGCATATGGCCAGCACTGCAACATCCCTGGCATTCTGCAAGTAGCCACATCCAGGATGGGACAAGGATGTGATTTACTTAAGGTGATCTATTCAGTGTCCCACTCTTGCATTCAGAGAGAATTCCTGATATATCAGTGTTACTCTTCTTACAGTGTTTTCTCCCGCTTCATCTGATGATAGACAGAAATATGTTTTGTGTATGTGGCAATAGCTCAGTGCCATGGATTCAAAAATAGATCTGTGGAAACAGAGTGTGGTGATGTTTTTTCATTGCTAACTTTGTATCTAGAAGACCTGTTGAACAAAATGTACACCTTTGAGAAAGGAGTAAATTAACCCAGGAATCGTGGACTTCTGTATCTGGGATCTTAAAGACCCATGTGCTTTTGGGAAGAAAAAAACCACCCACATTCCTTCCCTCTTTGATCTTAAAACCTGTGGTATTCTAAAGGTTGTAGTGCAACACAGAACACCCTTCATAGGCAGCAGATAGGATCACTCTCTGCCACTGAGATCCCTCTTTTTTTTCTGCTGTGTTCTTTGGTATGTGGATTCATCAGCTAATTCACAGAACTGATACATGTTTATGCTTTCCTCTTTGAGTAGTAATTACATTGCATGGCTCTTAAGATTTCTGATAGCACTTCTGCAAGGCATGGGTTTGGAACTTAAGGAAAATACTCAGTCATAGGAAAATACTCAGACTGACTCAGCATAGTCAGTCATTGAGAATATATTACCCTCTGGAAGTTTTTATACATTAGCCTCAGTAAATTTAATATAATCTCTCTAAATCCAGCTATGTCAAAGAGGTTAAATTATGTGATTAAGTGTATGAGGAAAGTGATGAAGTGATGTGTGAATTAAATACAGAGGTTATGAATAACTTCCTTATTCTGTTCCTGTGGGTGCTTGTGACAAAACAGGATCTCATTGAACCACTCCCTTTAATGTCATTCCTGTTATTTGAAATTGCTTCCTGGTCCTTGAATCTCTTGAAGAAAAGCTGCTGATTTTCAAGAGATATTTACCTAATGAGGAGTGGCTTTGGATATAAGATCTACCTGTCATAATTCATTTTTTGCCATCTCCTGAAATAACTTCTATGCATTTTTAATATAGAATACTCATTGTCTTTATGCACAATGGATCTAAATAAACTATATTAAACAGTGAATAAACTAAATGAAAGAGATGTTATACATCCTAGGTTGAAGAAGTTGAATCCCCATCTCACTGACAATAGAAAAATTAGACTGAATAAGATGTGATTCTTTTCTGGAATGTTAGTTTTCTTTCTCTGGCACTATGTAAATTTAACTGCAACAAGGAAAGARCTGAAGAAGTTAAAAGTGTTTGTGGGTGGTTGAAGGGGACAAAGGTAACTATTTTGTTATTTTGCCTGGAGGTGAATGAAGGATTTAAATACTTCTTCCATGTGATAGGTTTGAAATTTAATTTTTCTTTCTGTAAAGTACTAATTTTTGAAAGGCCACTTAGTGATGTAATACGCATTTTCAGAGAGCCTCTAATAATTTTTGAATTGTCTTCAATATAGCACACATATTTTTAGATAAAGGTAGAGTATAATAGTCATTTGGATTTCCCTTTTTGGACACTTTTGGGTTTTTTTCCTGGTGCTTATTTAATACACGCATACAAGTTTTCAGTGTGATAAATCTACTGCCTGTAGTTTTAAACACTGTGTGGTTTAATATTTCTGACCTGCAGGACGTGTRTGCCAGGAAGACTCGTGTGTGCTTCTAACACATTTCTTCTTCAACAGGCAGACTCCCATTTGCAGGTAGTCCTTTCTCTGATAGTGTTAAAAAAAAAGAAATAAAAGCAAGAATGGTATGGTACACAAGTTCATCTTTAAGTTAAGGTGGAGCTCCCGTGTATTAAGCATCAGAACATACAGTTGGTGTGACCAGCTGTGGTGGGAGACCAGAGATTGTCTTGAGACAGTGATCCCAGTCAAAAACCTGCACAAAAATAGTAGAAGTATGGAAGAAGGGACCATAATTACATTTCACCTGGACAGAAATCAGACTAATATTGTGAGGGTGGCAAATGTTATTTCAGGAGCAGCGGGTTTTGGGGGGATATCTATAATATCTACCTATTAATTAGACTTTGGTTTTGCTGTTTTGAAGGCTTGTTTATTTCCAAGTACAGTATTTCCTTATTCCTTGATCCAGCTGAAGTGGAGTGTTAAAACAGTGGTTTCTTTTCCTTGTAGATGGCTGTGGAATTTCTACATGAACTGGATGTTCCATTTTTCAAAGTAGGATCAGGAGATACAAATAATTTCCCTTATTTGGAAAAGACTGCAAAGAAAGGTAAGCTTTTTCTTTGAGCCATCTTGCTTAACATCACCATTTCTTAGGAGATCAGTTATTAGGGTTATTAGTTATTATTAGAACTTTGCTCCAACTGATTGGGGAAAAAAATCCAAAGATTCTTTAAAAGAAACTTGCCTTCAAACGTGTAAAAAAAAGGCTTGCCCAGCATTCTTTCCTAGTCTTACTGAGTTGATTTACTTAAAGAATTTATTTGGATTTTGGGTAGCTTTCTTGCAGACCTGAGACAAAACTTGTGCATGTTTTCTGATGGCTAGGTCGCCCAATGGTGATTTCCAGTGGGATGCAGTCGATGAACACWATGCATCAGGTTTATCAGATTGTGAAGCCCATCAATCCAAACTTCTGCTTCCTGCAATGCACCAGCGCGTATCCGCTTCAGCCAGAGGATGTCAATCTCCGTGTTATATCGGTCAGTGAGTAACCCAGAGCTTGCTGTGGGTAGGATAGCAAAGAAGGGCTGTGCACTTTCATTGAGATACACTTCCAGACCTTGAGCATGCTGGAATTTCCTTCTGAGAAGTTACAGGATGCATCAAGTTCCTCTAATTCACAGTGCAAGTGTTGAAGTGAAAATATCCACTGGGTTCTTTTTAGCAGAACTCCTCTTTGAGGAGTATGATGAAGGGTATTACTGGAGTATTCACAATTCAGCAGAGGAAAACATGACTTATGGCTAACAGGTTAAGCTTAKGTTTTATAGTGCAAGTAAAAAATCATGTAGACGGTTACTGTCAAGAGGTGACAGTAACCTCTTAACAGAAGAGAGGTTAATTAATTCTTAATTAAGAAGTGAGAATGTAATTCTAAATAGGAAGTTAGACCAAAAAGCTTTATGTGCTTGTAAGAGCAATGTAGAAAATTGATTTGACCTTCATATAGTTTCCTTCACTGGTAATATTATTTGGGTACACCCAATAATGATGTAAGAAAGTTTTCCTAAAGTGGCCAGTGTTCAAATGCTGCCTTAAATTTATGCTCACATAAGATATTATGTTTAATAGAATGCCACATGGCTGCATTTAATTGCCTTTAGGATTTGGTGACTGTCTGTATGGATTAAAAAATTGCTGCAGATTTTAAATACAATGTTGAAGAAATCTGTTTTGGATACAGATGAAGTTTAACCAACCCCCTGGGTTCTTGGATCAAAATAGGATACTGTTTCTTGCACTGACAACAGTGTTGAAGACCTTGAATAGTAGAACTGAATTAAAATGAGAAATAGAAGTTGTATAAGAGTGCATGCCTTGTTTTTCTTGCTGGTATTGATAATTATTAAAGTATTGATAACATCGATAATACTCAAATTTGGAATGTGGTGATTGGTAATGCAGTGTGGCTTGTTGAATTAAAAAAGTTGCATTCTCTGCATAACCAGCTGCCTGTTTTATGACACAATATTTTTTCATTGCAGTTATGTTATCACTGTTAAATTAACTTTGTCTTTGAAACTGCTGCCTTCGTAACACATACCAATTCTGTCATGATTCAAGGCTTATCAGTCAGCTTTTCCTGATATCCCCATTGGCTACTCGGGGCATGAAACTGGCATAGCCATTTCAGTGGCGGCTGTTGCTATGGGTGCTAAAGTAGTGGAACGCCATGTGACTCTTGACAAAACATGGAAAGGAAGYGACCACCAAGCATCTCTGGAGCCCAATGAACTGGCAGAGTTAGTGAAAGCCATCCGTACTGTGGAAAAAGCAATGGGGTCTCCAATCAAACAACTCTTGCCCTGTGAAATGGCTTGCAATGAAAAGGTAACTTTTGAATTTGGTTCTTAMAAACTTGAAGCTAATTTAGACCTGTAGCATAAATAACTATAATAAGAAWAATAGTTTACAAATTGTTTATTGGAGTAGTGTTTCTGCCTCTTCACTTACTGAATTTCTTACTGTGTCATGTTGGCAGTTCTGAGTATAATMGATTTCTATGTTTACCATCAAGTRTAAAAACACAGAATCATTTATRTTGGAAAAGACCCATAGATCACTGACTTCAACCACTAACCTATATGAAGGCCAGACACTAAAGTAGATCCCTAAGTGTTGTGTCTACACACATTTTAAAGAACTCCAAGAATCATGACTCAACCATTTCTAGTTCTAGACTGTTTTAGTGCTTGGTAACCCTTTTGAAGAAGGAATTTTTCCTAATATCCAATCTGATCTTCCCCTGGCACAGYTTGAAGCCATTTGCTCTTATTCTGTCCCTTGYTGCCTGGGAGAAGAAGCCAACCCCCACCTGACTAYAGTCTCCTTTCAGGGARTTACAGAGAGTGATAAGGTCCCCTCCRAGTCTCCTTTTCTTCAGGCTGAACACCCMCAGCTCCCTCAGCCRCTCCTCATGGGATTTGTGCTSCAGACCCTTCACCAGACTTGTCACCCTCTCTGGATTCACTCCAGCRCYTCAATGTCCTTCTTGTAGTGAGGGGYCCAAAACTGRTCACAGGACTCAARGTGCAGCCTCACCAGTGCCAGGTCCTTTTTAATAATAATAGGAGTAATATGTCTCCGTGAYTGTACACAAGCTGCTTTTACGCTAAGCTAAAATAGCAGTCATTCTAATCAGATTCCCTCAATTGTGATTTTGAAAAATTCCASTGGGCCACTATCCCATTTCAGAAAACATCTCTTTGTTCCTGGCAGCCTGGTTACAGTGGAAGTTTCCATGCTAGCTTAAGCCTTCATTTAGAATAAGTAATGGAGAGGGCARTTCTACACAACCTGTTCTCAAGTAACTGCAGAACATTTTTTTGATTTTTTTGTTGCATTAAGCCTAGTAATGTGTCTAACTTAAATATTGGTTTGTTTTTTTTTCCTCCCCTGTAGCTGGGAAAGTCGGTAGTGGCAAAAGTGGCAATTCCTGAAGGTGCAGTATTGACACTTGACATGCTGACGGTGAAGGTGGGAGAGCCAAAGGGATTTCCCCCAGAATCCATCTTTGATCTGGTGGGCCAGAAGGTTAAAACAAGTATTGAAGAAGATGAAACCATCACTGAGCAAGTAATGGAAAATCACGTAAAAAAAGTGAAGTGCTAAACCAAAGCACTCCATTCCATATTTCACACAACGTGTTTAAGTATAGCGACGTGGTAGATTAAAAGAAAGGGGTGTGATTATGAGGATGMAAACAGATTAGAATTTTCAGGTTTTCATTAGCAGGACATTTCAGAAGCATGGGGATATAAATTATGAAGATTTTATTAGAAACTGTATAGCATTGTGCCTAGGAAATAATCATGGTCCTCTTCTCCATTCCACTTAACCTAGATTGATTTGGAGTTTGCCAAATGTAAGACCACAGTCTGCTGCTTTCCAGCTTMCCTATTCTGTTAAGAATGCAGTAAATCACAAGAATTTTGTCTCCACTTTGAATTATTCTAGCCCTGTACCTTTGGATATTCCTCTCTTTTCTGCCATTTGCCTCAGCCCTGTGATAGCAGGACTCATGCTGGAGTTGAAGACAGATAAGTGAATGTTTACATACTCTGAASAGAAAACTAGACATGCAACCTGGAAGGAATTTTCTCAAGATAAAAGCCTTAAAAAAGTGTCATGATAAAGCAGTGGGTTGCAGGAGTCTGCATTCTGTGGRAAAATGGGCTTCTTGAGAAAGCTGTGTTCTCAAGAGACAGTACCAGGAAAGGAGGCATACTTTAGAAAGGTCCCATTTAAGGGACAGGAGAGCCTTTTGTGAACTGAAAGGCAAAAGGGCAGGTCAGAGAGATTGAACAGGGAAGAAAAGTAGATGGATGAGTGGAAATAAATTCATGCTTGAGAAATTGTGAAAAGTGTATACTGTGAGTTGAGTGAAGTGTGAAATATTAAGTCAATTCTGCAGAGCATTTGGATACCTCTGSTTTGACCTGGGGGGCATTTTCTCAGGTAAGAAGCCAAATGCTGGTGAAGCTTGAGCAGCCTTTTTTTTCTATACTAAGAAGCAAATTCTCTACATTGGGGTTTTCCTCTCAACACTGGGATGTGAGATGCCTGAGGCTGACTGCCTGACTACATCACACTGTTACAGTTCAGTGTGATGGCCAGTGCACCTCTACTCTCGCATCCCAGCTTCTCACTTTTCAAGTAAGAAATGCAATCCCACTCCTAGCACCTGCACCTTTTCCATTTGACAGAAGGGAGCATAGCATCAGCAGCTGCAAATCAGTCATTCTTCAATTACCTTTCTTAGCACAGTACTSCTTGGTACAATTCATCATCAGTTTTTTTTCTGTGGTGGAATCGGTTACAAGTTAAGATGGTTACTTGGAACTTGCTACTTTTTGGTCATGAGTTGGTGAAGCATCTTGAATTCCGTGGTGTGTGGTTTTGTACCTGTAAGCWTTTTACTTTCAAAGTGTTTACCCTTGTGCAATTCTGAGGAAACTGTGTTAATGTCTTAAATTGGGGATGCAGAGGTTGAGTCACATGCTTGACCATATAGGAGTTGTGACTGATGCAGTAGGCTTGCCTTACATTAAAAATCTACTCAATTATTACAAGTTTTTTTCTTTTTTTTTTTTTTAATTTTAAATTTGAAAAATAAATTTAGTTTATAAAACAAGCTCTTGTTTCTGCATTTCAGCCTATGGTTAGCCTTGGCTTTGCCAACACTGGTTATGTTTCCAGGGCCTTTAGTATTTTAACTCCAAGTAGCAGTGGTTTTTCACTCTAGCAGGGCTGGTCCTAGATTCTCTATTCCAGGAATTTTCAGGACTTTAATTACTGTATTTGGGGGGTGGGGGAGAAATATCCATACACAGAAACTTACAAGCTGTGTCTCCCAGGTTTATGTGAACATTGCAGATTGATCACAAAGATAAATGGGGCACAAATGCACCACTGGCTCAGTGTTTTTATTGCACCTGTGAGCCATCCAGACATTTATGATCTATTAGGAGTTGTACACAGCTGTTACTCTTGCTTCTCAGTGGGAAGAATAGGGCCACCCATAAGTCAAAATCAGAGTTTGTGTCACATGTAAGACCAGCTAATGGCTATTAAATGTGACTACAGTAGCTGTTACTTCAGAAGGGACCTTTCCAGCAGTCAGTGCTAGTCTTTGATTTTTCCAAGATGACACTAAAATATGAGCTAATTCACTTCGTGCATTTATTCAAATCTGACTTTGTCAGTGGTAATGATATGCTATAGAATATCTTGAAGCTTGAATAAAACTAAACCTGTTGCCATGCACAATTTCAGGCTCATGAGGGGAGGGAGTTCATTAAGTTGTTTTGTTTTTTTAAAGTCAATATCCAGGTTCCAGTCTGAGTTGTATTATTTTTCTTTCAACCAGACTTCTTCCATTTTGCAAGTTGAAAAACATTACACACAGCACTTCAGGTGGTACATCAAGACCATTTATAAAAATCAGATCACCTTCCCCCATAGAAAAATACATGTACATTAAAAATTACTGTTGATTTTCTTGAACTTAAGTTACCTTCTAAAAGCATCATAATTACAACTTTCATAGAGCAGAGATGAATTAATGTAGRTAATTGCTGAAGTGGCATTCATAGAAATAGTAGGCTTTATTTTGCTCTGTTTCTTATGTTAGTTTGCATGTTCTAATGSACCCTTCCCAGAGTCTCAAGGCGGGATAAACTGGTTCTGTGAACTTGCAGCGGAAGGTRTGCAAATGAGCCATGCCGTCACTGACATTGTAGAATGAAAGAATTCCTGCTTCATAATCTAGAAAAATGCCAATGCAATCAGGRTCATCTTCTACAAGGATGGGGATTCTCTCTCCCTTGTGAAACGCCCAGTATTCAAGRTCAAACTTCTTTAGACACCAAGATGCTCTATTCCAGCCCAGCCGACAGGCTTCAGAGTCTCCTTTCCTMCCAATGGAAGGGTAGGCTGCACCAATCCACCATCCTGCTCCAGCACGAACCAGGTCAACTTCCCAGTAATGGCTCCCAGARAGGAATGCGTCTCTGCTTAGTACTTGCCATAAGGTATCGAATCTCTGGGGACCACAGGGGTAAAATATCCTCCTCCAGCTACAGCTTACTTCGAGACGGTCATCAGACAATTTCAGTCTTGGGTGAATGCTGTCGTATTCCCAGGATGGTGATCTTGCATCTGCAGTCAAAGCCATAAATGTGCTTACWACATTTATCGTGACCCTTGGAAAAGTCCAAGTTACAAAACACCTACTAAGGAGCCCACAGCCAGCAGCATCTTGGAACATGGTCAGAAAGTCCAGTCCCAGGAACATGGGCTGGAAAAGGCATGCCAAGGGGATCACAGCAGGCTATTAATATTGCTGCCTCCACACCTTTGTAATATGGGCCAGCCACAGTGATGGGTACCTCAACTGCAGCACCAGAGTTGCTTTAGGGTTAGGGCTCAGCCTGRAAGCCCACAGGTTCCAGACTGAGTCTGGAAAAGGCATTCCAGTCAGCAAGGCAGGGCCCCAACATTGCTGACTCTGCACTGTTCAGTCACCCACTGTGATGGAGATGCCAGTTGCAGCACCARCTTAATGTTAGGGATGGAGTTCAGCTAGCCACAGAGCCTACAGCTCCAGGGACATGGGGCTGGAAAATTTATGGCAGGTCCATGAAGCAGCACGGCTGCCTCCACACCTTTCTAATCTAGGTCACCAAGCCTAATCAGCCACAGAACCAAGCTGCCATTTGGGTTAAGGTTACAACTCACAGAGCCACAGAGCCTACAGCTCCAGAGACAGTGGGGCTGCAAAAGGCATGCCAAGAGAATCACAGCAGAGCATCAACACTGATGCCTCCTCACCTTTATAATCTGGGTCACTCATGGTGACGGGATACGGAGAAGCCATACCCAGAGCAGTTACAGTCACTGGGTCTCTTCAGCCTGGAGGAGACTGAGGGGAAACCTCATTGCAGTCTGCAAATTCCTTATGAGGGGAAGAAGAGGGACAAGCATTGATCTCTGTGATGACCAGTGACAGGACCTGAGGGAATGGCCTGAAGTGAATTCTGTCAGGTGAGATTTAGGTTAGATATTAGGAAAAGATTCTCACAGGGTGTCTGGGTGCTGGAACAGCTTCCCCAGGGAAGTGTTCAGAGTTCAAGAAGCATTTGGACAACACGCTCAGACCCATAGTCCTGAGCAGGTCCAGGAGTTGAACCCTAGTGATTTTTGTGGGCCCATTCCAACTCAGGAGGTTCTAGGACTCTGGYATAATCATACTTACGTTTTAAGAAAAGCAACCGATCAATAGGAGTCATGGTTTTCAGCACTGTTCCGGGCTCCTTCTTTGCAGTGGCGTTAAGGCTACTGAAAACATCTGGACAGAGATGCAAACAGACAGTTTAGGGAGCCTGCCAGTTTTTCAACTATTATTCTCCTGTTTCATGGACAAACTATGTTACGTTTTCTGCAGAAAGGCTACTCACTCTGTATGCTTTCAACATTGTGCACTTTGATAGCACAGAGATGCTGGACTAGTGTTGCCAAAGAAYTGCACAAATGAGCACAACACCAAGGAATCACAGTCTATTCCTTAAAAAATAGCACCTATCAGATGAAAACAGGCAGGTGAAGATAGCTGCAACTTCTTGTTGCACAGCTCTTMCAAGATGCTGTCTAGAAATCCTGCACACATCCTGTAGTGGCCTTTCAGAGCAGGTCTAACCTGATCTGCCCCAGCAACCTCCTATTCTTTTCTTGCTGGCAGTTSTCCGATAAGGGATTATTAAAAGGCAGCTGGGTGAAATATGATAGCCAGTGTTGCTGCTCACTCACAGAGCAGCAGGGTTTCCCCATGATTATTTAGTTTTGTGGCTCTGTGTCCCATTAGAAAAGTCCTTGCCTTAATCATGCCAAAGGTCATTTAAGGGTGAAATACCAGATCAAAGACAAAAGGATTTCTACACAGAATATGTTAGCTCACCTTTAYAGTATCAGAAATCATCAATTTTTTTCAGACTGAGGCAAATCATTGAGTACATCAATTAGAAAAAGCTTCCAAATTTTAGAAGTACCCTAGTGCCAGAGCACTTACACCCARTATAACTGAGAGGACACATTGTGTAGTTGTGATGGACTATAGTAAATTGTTCTAAAATACCTGATGGGGGGGAGCGAAGCAGCACACAAACCAAAGATTGTTTTCAGAGTTGGAAGAGAAACCTCTTACATTCTTAAATCACCACTGCTATCATAGCATTACACCTATGCTGCCAGAAAACAGCAGCCCTGCCTGAAACACTGTTGTTTCTCCAGCTGATTTGCTAAAAAGTCCTGTTCTTACTTACAAAGCACACTTTATTTGCAAAGAGAGCAGAAGAAAGGAAAATTCAGAGCACTCTTACAGGTACCTTCTTTAAGCCGGGCTTCCAGTGGTTTTTCTAGAATGGGCTGAAGAACTCTGATGAAATGTTTATAATGGTTGAGCAGGTGTTCAAATGAAAGAGGTATTGGATGCCACTCTTCTAACACATGCCTGGATTCCTTAATTTCCTTCTCGATTTCTGTGTACTTCTGAGGGAGGAAAGCCAAATGCTACAATTAGCAGGCAGTGACATGAAAGGACTCTTCCCTCCCAGCTGCCACATGCCACAGAGCAAGGACAGCAGATAAACAGGCAAGCTTGACTGTGTTCAGCCTGTCTTTTAGGTCATTAACAGGTCCATCACCTCCTCCAGCCAGTGGAGCCAGTGGCCACCCTAGAGCCATGATTAAAAGAAATCCCTATAGGATAGAAATGAGTTTAGCCTGGCCAGGACCCCTTGTGGGAAATGCCATCAGTGGCAAATTCAAACTACYAAGTTTTAAAAGCGATCTGAAGAATAAAATCCAACATCTCCTACAAGAAGATCTCCACAAAATCATGAAGAGCAGCTCCTATGTGGAGGTGTGCTGCTAGCGCACACAGCAGAATGCCAGAGCCACTTCACAGCAAGGGAAACTCCCACCTCYGCCACATTGCAAGGATGCAAAATGCACCAGAGGCACCATCCTATGATGAATGGCATCCTTTGGTTTGTGTCACGGCATAAGTAAACAACAACACACTCTTCCCAAGGAAGGTGAAGCATTTCCCCCTCCAGTGCAGGGACAGCTATTGTTTATGGTGATTAAGATCTCTTGCATTTAAAGAAATTAGACATTTTAACCTTCTTCCTGAGGTTTCTCAGACCTTCATGTTACACTGGACAAGGAAAGATTTGATACAGCATTTTTCTTCCAGACTGAGACACATATCTGTCTTTTCCATATATGCCTAAAATTAAAATTAATTTTATACAGACCTGAAATAAATGCCATAGCAGGAATACTTAAYAGCTCAAAAATTAGGCACTGAATTGGTTCACCAAAACACCAACACAAAGCAAAYTATAAAGCAGTTAGAAAGATGCTGCTAACATACAGAAAGATCTATAAAAGAGATTACTACAGCAATTTACAAGGACTATGAGGATGAGACTTAGAAAGAGATCATACAATACCACCTCCAGCAAACGAACGGGATCACTGTCCTGTTCTATTTGTCTGATTCGACATGTGAAGGTCTCTAGGGCTGCAAGCTGTTCTTGACAGGACTGCAACTGCTGATCATGTGCTCCCAGGGCTTGCTGAGTCTTTTCATCAATGAAGTTTTTTGCCAGACTCTCTTCTTCTCGAAAAAGTAACTGAAGCTCAGTTATTTTTTCGGACAGCTGCTTTTTGATCATATCAGCATGCGCCTACGGAGGAAGCAGAAGAATGTCTCCCCCYTGTTCAACAGACCATAAACTCTTCRGATATTTCTGTTTCAGACTTTCAATGCTGTTTTGGTTTAATTTTACTGATTTTCTGCATCTCTTCAGAAACATGTCACTACCCCATAAGGGAGGGCAGACATKATTTACCTGCTGATGTCTGGCTGGAAAAGCTTGAGGGAAGATGCCTATTTATGCCAAGAATTCTGTTTTCAACTGGAATTAATAGGGTACAAATTGCAGCAAGAAGCAGACCTGGTCTTCAATAGCAAGACTTTGACCTCTTTTAAAGCAAGCTAGAGATTACTGTTCAGTGCAAGGCAAGATACRTCAGTGAAGCCAGAATAACATAGGCAGCCGGGGCTACCTACTATTTCTCTGCACAAAAATTTCAGCCTTGGTCTTCCAGAGCTGTTCAGATGATCATGGAATGAGGACCAGGTCTTTGGAAACTCTCTCTCTTCTCTCCTTTTGATAGTATAATATAGTGTGATGGATAAAGGGAATATATTCTTTTYCTGAGAAGCAGTGGGTATCTGAGTCTTTGAACACCTACAGAGAAAACAAAATGCTTCCCCTTGGAAAATGACYATCCAGTAAAGAAGGAAACTGCACTTTACCTTCACATAATTCACAGCCTGCTCTATGCTCCTTTTGTTACCAGCTTCTTGCTCTTTTCTCTCTTCTAGATCCTTCAAACACAATGTCATGAGTTCCTATACAACAGTAAAACAAAATAGTGTTTCACAACAGCATCTGTAAAAAGTAGAAATCAGTGTCCAGCTTGTTTTCCATATAGGGGAGTATATCACTGAAAYATTCGGTTTCAGAATCATAGAATCACAGAATATTTGTAGTTGGTACTCTTAAATGTATAATGGCCTTTTATTAGGTTCATCAAGGCCTGTGCAGTGAACCATAAGGATTTCAACRCTTATACTGGTTATATTGGTAAAGTTTGGAGAGCTGTGCAAATTAGCACCGCTTTCTTATGCAGAGAAACCCAAAGTGAAACAGTTTYATCTTCAAATCTGTGGTGCTGTGCATTTCAAGACTGTATGCTAATACAATTCGCAGCTGAAGGGCAGCTAAATAAATACTTTTAGTGAGAGAATCAGGGGGATGCTCTGTCTAGAATCAAAATCCAGTGAATATTCAGGATGCTTCCCAGTGTACGAATGACCCATCAGACACTATCACTACAGTGACAGTCTGCATATCTACAACAGCCAATATTGTCAGGCTGGCTGCTCATCAAYCACAGTATCTGTGACATTTGTGGTGTGCCCAACACAGCACAATCAATGTTGTGCTTATGCCTTGCCCCACAGTTTCTCACCCRCAGCCCTCTGAAACTGGCTGCCCTCTGCCCAGCAGGCGGGGCAGCCTTGGTGCACCTGCTGAGGCGTTTTTGTCACTGGTACGGTGACACATCCATTGCTGCCCCCCACTCTCAGTGCACTGGTGCTAAAGCACAGACCCTCAGGAAACACCAGGTGAGCTCCCTCCAGCTGCAGCTGATATCAGTGACCTCTTCTGCAGCTGAGAGACAGCCAAGGGCATCTGCACAAACATCAGTGCACTGCAAGAGCCCCAGGGCAGCCCAGCATTTAAACTCTTCAGTGTGGACAAACAGAGCATAAAGTGCTGCTTCATGAGCAACAGTTTGCATTGCTGACATGTGTCTCCTTAGAGAACACATATGGTTTGTCATTTGATTAGGACAGAGTCAGGAGAAAATGGGCTCCCAGCAAAAAAACAGAAATTCTGCATCTGGAAGGCCCTTGGCACAGATAGAACCATGCAAGCAGATAAATGTTCTTGCATGGAGACARTCATGCTATTTATTCCAGTTTTCCAGTCTTGTCCCTGAAGAATCAGAAGTGTTCCACACCATTAGAAGATTCAGGAGTTTTACCAGCTACCAGCCTTCTTTAGTTTATTTTGCAGCCTAGACCTCAAAGACTGACAAAGACCAATCTTCCTTCTTTGCTAGTAAAACACATCAAATGTGTAAAAGCAAGGATTTCTGAGAGATGACAGTCCTAGCTCCAATCAGGCTCACAGGACACATACCAAGTACAAAAAATGCTGATTCTGTGTGCTGCATTCAGAAACTCAGGTAGTGTCCTTCTTGGTGGCTTTGAACAACATCCAATCCAGGGATGAAGCAGCTTTTGGACCTCGCACACTGGCTCTCATCTCTCAGCACTCACAGCTAGGATTTGCTGGAAGAGCAGTGGAAGATTCTCTGTGGAAGAAGTGCTGTCTGGCTGGTGTCACATCACAAGGGCTGTGCAGAATAACTTCCCCAAGCAAACAAAAACACTAGTCAAAATACCATTTCTTAGGCTGCAACTATTGATACAGTTTATGCCTGAAATCTCTGCAGCCCTAAGCCAGTAGATGTCAGCAGATACCTCCTACGGACAGAGGGTCACACGGGTGTACATTGTTCCTACCCCGCTTCACTTCCTGATCTGGCACAGACACAACCCTTTATCAACAGCACGTGCTTCCCTGTGTCAGTCAGACCCCAAGGGAACCAGCACAGCTTGTAGGTTTGTGCCCTTTGCCACTGCACAATGCCTGCCTCCACGCATTGCCATCCTGTCATGAAGGGAATGCAAACATCGTAGTGAGTTCCCACCTGMAAGAGGGACATTCTGGATGAAAGGACACCCGCAGGCAGGAACAGTGCTCTACACATCTCAGATGTCTGAAATGGTTTTATCTCTGTGCTGCTGTTTGTGGCAGCCTAGGGCATTGCCCTCTGCCCTTGTGCTGCTCTCTGACATGAAGTGCAATAAAATGCCACAAGAGTTTATCATGACCTGTATACACGCTCACAATCTGTGTGAACTTCCAAGCAGGAAGTTCTTGTAGGAACTGTTTCTTCCTCCTGTTCTCTGCAGAAAACCTCCTAGTAACACTGCTCCAAAGTAACACAGTAGGAGGGGGAAGCAACTTTCTAAAATTGTAGAGGGGGCAAGAAAAAGAAAAAAAGACTTCTGAACATCAAACCTCTGTATTACCACATTTTAAGCGTCCCAAGCTTAGCACCAGCAGGCCTCAGCAAGCTTCCTGGCAGGCTCTCYGAGTAAAACAAAATACAAGCAGGAGTATTGGTAAGCTTGCAAAGCTTTCTGAGGATATTTGGTGGAGAGCTACATTGGGATGAAAAAAAGGGGAGAATCTTAGGGAAGAACCCCTGGGCTGGCTGTGTTTGGGATGGAGCTAATTTTCCTCAGAGCAGCCCTGCGGTGCTGTGTTTCAGATGTTACCATACTGAGAGCGCACAAAAGGCTGATGGGGGACACAAGCAGGAGACGATCCCTGCTAACCAAAGAGGTAATCCATGCCATAAAACACCTTGTTCAGCAACAAAACTGCAAGAGGCGTATTCAGGCGAGTCAGCTGTCTTTTGCTCAGGAAGTGTCTGGTGAGTGYCCACCTTTGTATTGCTTTTGTTCTTTTTCTCTTCCCTCCACTTCTCTTTCACTTAGTAAACTTTTATCTCAATCCATGAATTTTCCCAGTTTTAGTCTTCCTCTTCTCTTTCCCTGTCCCACTGGCTAAGGGAGGGGAATAAGCAGGCAGCTGTTTTGTGCTTAGCTGCCTACTGGGGTTAACCCACCACAATCCCTGCTCCCATCCCAGAATCAGAGAACTGTGCAAGGGCAGACACTGTGATCTAGCAAGTTACAGTGGTGGAGGGAGAGGGTAAACAGAAATGACCTTTCCTCTTCCCCTGAGACATCTATGTTTCTGACAAAGGTACTTCCAGCCTGGCAATAGAAACCAGTTTCCTGGGGCAGCCATGCTCCTCCGATTCCACACACAAAGTCTAAGGATAAAATGCTGCTGCATGTGACCTAACAGCACAGAGTCAAAGTCACTTCCTCCTAGTCCCTTGTCACACACTTGCTTTGGGCGCTTGGGTGTGCCTGATTAACTCTTTCCCTTGTGTGCACAAGCCATATCCTTGCGTGTGTGCAGTAGCATCAGCCTGACCCCTGTCCGTATGGGTTCTACAAAGTGCTCTTTGAAGTACAGAAAACGCAGAAACTTAGTTCCGCTGGCTAGCACAGCCTACAAACCATGACCTCCACAAGGTGTTTAGAAGGCAAGCAAAGCAAGGCTGGTTCTGTGACACGGCACCAACACTCACAGCTCACACCATCAAAGAAAAAGAAAGAAGCACAAGTCTGAAGCGCCTGTCGGCGGCGCCCGGCACTCACCTGCGTGCGGCGGACGGCGTGCGGCAGGAGGCAGGCGCGGTGCCCGCGGTGCGAGCCCAGCACCGGGCACAGGGCGCACACACAGCACCCGCAGTCCTCGCAGAACAGCTCCAGCGGCCGCCCCGAGTGCACCCCGCACCGCCGCGGCTCCCCCTGCGCCATGCCGGAGGGCAGGAGGGCGGGGAAGAGGCGGATGAGGGGCAGGAGGGTAAGGAAGAGGCGGATGAGGGGCAGGAGGGTAAGGAAGAGGCGGATGAGGGGCAGGAGGGCGGGGAGAGGCGGATGAGGGGCAGGAGGGTAAGGAAGAGGCGGATGAGGGGCAGGAGGGCGGGGAGAGGCGGATGCGGGGCAGATGAGGGGCAGGAGGGGGAGGAGAAGCGGATGAGGGGCAGTAGGGCGGGGAGAGGCAGATGAGGGGTAGGAAGGCGGAGAGAGGCGGATGAGGGGCACTAGGGCGGAGAGAGGCGGATGAGGGGCACTAGGGCGGAGAGAGGCGGATGAAGGGCACTAGGGCGGAGAGAGGCAGATGAGGGGTAGGAGGGCGGAGAGAGGCAGATGAGGGGTAGGAGGGCGGAGAGAGGCGGATGAGGGGCAGTAGGGCGGAGAGAGGCGGATGAGGGGCACTAGGGCGGGAAAGAGGCGGGTACAGGGTGTGCGCCGCGGGCGGCGGTGCCGCGCTTTGGGCCGGCGAGCCGTGGCCGTGTTTGTGGCCGTGGTTGTAGCCATGGCCGTGGTTGTAGTCGTGACTGTGGCCGTGCCATGGCCGTGGCCGTGGCCGTGGCCGTGGTTGTGGCCGTGACCGTGACTGTAGCCGTGGCCGTGGCAGTGGCCGTGCCGTGGTTGTAGCCGCGGTTGTGGCAGTGGTTTGTGGCCGTGGCCGTGGTTGTGGCCGTGGCCGTGGCCGTGGTTGTGGCCGTGGCAGTGGTTTGTGGCCGTGCCGTGGCGGCGGAGGGGGCCGGTGCCCGCCGTGCCTCTGCCCTGCTCCGGGCGGACCGGGAGCGCGGCCGGGTTGTCGGGCGGGCAGCGCCCACAGGAGCGGGGCAGCGGGACAGCCGGCGCCGTGGGAGCTGCCTCCGTCCGGGACCCGGCTTGGAAAACTGAATAATTTGTGGAATYTCAGCAGCGTCGATGAAGAATGGGCTTCGGTGTGATAGCTGAGCAAAAGAGTTGTCTGATAAAAAGTGTGAAAAAAAATTGTCTTCAGAGCACGTTTTGTTGCTTTCTGGTTTTCCATTAGAATTTTGTGCTCTGAAAGGTCTCATTTATAGAAATCGAAATAGAGTGCTCATGCGCTTACAGAGTTTGCAAACTGACTTTATTGGCCAAAATTCTTACCTACCTTGAACCAAATTCACACCGTTTTTTTTTTTTAATATGCCTGGTTCTTTCTGTGAATGAAAGCAACAGAGAGTATTCACACACACACGCACACACACAGACACATACACAAGATGTGAAAAAATAGGAAGAAATTTAAAAACCAAGCATTCTGGTGCACCATTTGAGAGTCAGTAAATGTATTAGTACAAGAGAATGTACTGAGCACTGAGGAACAAGAGCAGTCCCACTGAAAGCAGGTGGAATTTCACGCCCACAAAAGAGCTGCTGGCATAATTAAGGATTTAGTAAGTGCCTTGTATGTACAAGTCGGGGTTTTTTCTCTGAAAGTGTTTCATACACACCCCATGCTACAGTCATGGAATGTTAGGTATTGTAGGTATCTGGAGATTATTTGCTCTTGTTCTACATACACAAAGAAGAGTGCTAATACCTGCTTTAATAAAAATAAGAATTTCACATCCTCTTTGAGATCCTGTTCTRGTGTTTGACCACCCTAACATAGAAAACTTTTTCTAGCATCAAACAATATTTTTTTCATTACAGCTGGAGCCATATTGTTTCACTGTGACTTTCCAAGGGGAGTTTCAATCTCATCTTCTTGATCTATGTCCGTACAGAACTACAGACAGCACTGAGTTCCTTGATGGAGGCTGAACAATTTCTTTCCACATGCTTTTAGAAATGCTAAGCTTCAGTTCCACTACTGTCTTGGTGGCTGCTGCAGGAGGGTTTGCCTGATGAAGTCCGTGTTTGTTCCTGTCCAGAGGAATGTGTGTGTTAAGTGAACATTGCTGTCTGACCGTCCAGGAGCACTGTGGCAGTCACACTCTCACCACAGAATGTCACTGCTGGGACTGAAGCCCCTTTGCAGGCAGCTCCACTGAGCTGAAGGGTCTCTGCTTGACTCTTTACACACCCCACACTCACACAGACATGCCCTCCTCAACAGTTCAATCCCAGATTTTCCACAGCAGRGTCTCAGACCTCTGGATCCCTGAAGCGATTTATTTATGGTTCAGTAACAGARTAACAGCTCGAGCTGATGCCTTGAGGAAGAACCCAGAACAAAGGACTGTCTGAGCTTTTACACCCTCACAGACTGTGTGCCAGAAAGTCTGGGGTCTTCCTGCTGAGCCTCCAGCTCCTGCTGTGTCTCAGTGTCCGGTCCCCTGGCAGGGTCACAAGTCCCTGTGTCCTTTACTGTACCAAGGGTCAGCCGTKCCTGCCCTCTTGCCTCAGGCTCCCACCCAGAGCTGAACCTGCAGCTCCCACTACAGCTGCACCCCGAGCTACCTGCACTGAACATTGCTCCTTTTTTTTTTTGGATTGAGCATACCTGTTAATACATTAAAAGGGAAAAAGAAAGGTTTCACAGCATTTTCCACTGCCCTTACATACTGCATTATTGCAAGTAACAGAATCAAGGCTAACATTATTGTCATAGGGCAGAAATTGCTGTCAAGGCAAGATCATGAAAGATTATTGWCACTCAGTCATTGAACAATTGGTTAATCATTCACTACCTGTTTGCTATGAGCCTGGTGTATCCAGTTTTCTTAACCCCAAATTTTAGCAGCAAAGTAAGAACAGAGTAAGACAGAGTATGGTCCCTCCTATTTAGGTTCTAATTTGAATTTTTGTGAGAATATCTTGATTAACACTACATCTGCAGGTTGTGTATCAGGTACTTATATTTCAGGTGTATACTTCCTCTATTCCTTGAACCATTTCTATATTTTACATATAAAATAGTAGGTCAGGCATTCATTTCTATCCAACAGGCTGGTCTTAGGCTGGAACATAACTTTCTGATATAGCTGAGTGCCTTCCAAAAAAAAATTAAGCCAGTGCTATGGGTTGTAACAGAACATTCCAAACATTCCATAGAGCCAAGTGTAAGGCTTGTGGCCATTTCAGATAAGTGCATGTGCATATTTTTGCTTTTCCTTTTAATGTCTTTATTCATGCCTTCTACTTGTCCTGCAGATGGTGGGTGATACAGTTTATATAATTTTCTCTCTATTCTTAAAGACTTACACAACAGATTGTTTATATTAGCTGTAAAATGAGCATTAATTTGTCTCTGTCTGATTAATTTGACTCTGGAACCCTGTATCTAGGTATAACTTTCTTTAGCCAATGCCTTTCCTGCTCCTCTTGTGCCAGCCCTTTTAGTTGTTTAGCAAACAACAATTTAGCAAATGTTTGTCCCCAGCCATAGGTGTCCACAGAGTGTTTGCAGATGATGAAAAGGGAAGTAGGCTCACGATCACTCATCCTGAATCTGAGCTTCGTCTGATATTTGAGAAATTCTGGCAGGTTGGGAAGCTGTTTGTGATCCTTTTTGCAGTGGCATATATTCCTGAACCTGACCACTTTTTATTCTCTTGTACTTGGCTAGCCATCGCCTCTGCCTCTCCAGCGACTTTATTGTGAAACCATCTAGCCACACAAATTAAACATTTTTTGACAGAATTTGCTTTCCCTCAGCAGACCATATTCCATCATGACCTTGTGTTGCCTCCCACTTTTCCTGTTTCTTCTTTTCTTCCAGTGAGCAGTCCTTCTCATGAATGGGTTTAGGGCCTCTCAAATTTGGCCATTCACTCTGGCCAGCTGGAGCCACAGCAGCACATTCTCCATCATCAGGGGGAGGCATTAGGCTCCCTGGATTCAAGGTGTTACACCCTTTCAAGATTATATGCTGTCGAGAAGATCAGTTCATAGCTGTGTGCCCACTGTGGTGTTAGAGCTTGGGCTGTGTACAGCATCTCTACATCACATGGGATAAGCACTGTTTCAGGATGTTCCAGGATAAGGAGCATCTAATTGCTTATATTTCTAATATTTTTGCTGCTGTTGCCACTGATTTAACACCARCTCCTGCTCCTGCTGCAGATGGAGCTAATTTAACTGAGTGACATGCAAATAGTCTCTGATGGGAGTCTTCACTCTGCATTGCCACTCCACTGGTTATTCCTTTACTTTCATGAACATACAGATCAAAAGGTTTTGTATAACCTAGGAGCCCAAGAGCAGGAGCAGATACCAGAACTCCTTTTGTTGCTTTATAAGCTTGTTCCCTCTCTGGGTCCTATGCACTGGACTTTATCTCCTYGTTCTTGGTTTCCTCAGTCAGAGGCTTAGTCAACTCCTCTAACATAAGAATCTATGGCCAACAAAATCCCACAGGTCCAAGTAAACCTGGTACCTGCTTCTTGTGACTGGAGTGGGAGCTTAATTGTGGCCTCTGTCCTTTCTGGATCTGTCATTCATTTTCCCTCAACAAAATAAAGCCTAAATATTTTACTTATTTTCTGGCACAGGGGAGGTTTGGATGGAGATGTCCCCTTTTCTGAAAAGGGCTGTCTCCTTTTCTGATAATACATAAATGTATGGCATCTAATGTACAAACACCCTTGTCACAGTTAGCCAGTGACAGATCATTGACACACTGTGCAAGAACCAGTTTGCCCGGTAATTTTATACCTTCATTGCAGTGTGTTGAGTGCCAAAATTCTCTGCAGATTCTGTGGGCCTATTCTGTCTCCTGAAGACCACAACAGAACTTCCAAGCATTTTCTCATTTACAGGGTTTCTTTAAATATACACAAAATTATCATCATTGCAAGCAAGTAGTAATCCACAGGAATCTCATGGATTTACAAAACTAAAGTATTGTTTTCAGCTGACTTATACCTTCTGGAGAAACTGCTCTTGGTATTTCAAGTCTACACCACAATAATCAATTCAAATAGTTCCAAACAGCACAGAATTTGTGCTATTTATGGCAGAAGATGGGCTGTTCATATTGAAGAACCTRCTGTGGGTACAGATACAGCCCAGCAGAGGCTGATACGCCCTMCCCCAAATGGCCATGGGCAGGGAGAGCTCACCAGGCACTGTCAGGGCATTTCCCATTACAAATGAAATTATTGAGCTAGATTTTCTGTGCTTTCTAGGTTTTAAATTGTTTATAATGGAGAAGAGAGTTGTGATAAAACTGAATAA